AAACATTTCCAGTAGCAGGAAACTCATTATCTTCTCCCCAAGGAAGCCCATTCCATCTTTAAATGGTTCTAATTATAAGGAAAAAAAAACACATTTGTCCTTCCTTTATTGAGGATTCCCCATAGTTCTCTATAATATTGTGATAATCACTTTACATGAATTATCTCATTTAAGCCCAGCAGTCTATAAGATAAAGGCTAATTTTTACTCCTTAGTTGCTGTTTTTGTTTATTGTGGTAAAATATAGATAACATAAAAATTTACCATTTTAAGTGTACAATTCAGTGGCATCAAGTACATTCTCAGTGTTGTATGATCATCACCACCATTTCCAGAAGTTTTCACCATCCCAAACAGAAACCCATTAAACACTCACTCCCTTCTCCTCTCTCTCCAGCCCTGATAACCACTATTTTTTCTGTCTCAATAAATTTGAATATTCTAGATACCTCATATAAGTGAAATGTCCTTTTGTGTCTGGTTTATTTCACTTAGTATAATGTTTTCAAAGTTCATCCACATTGTAGTCTGGATCAGAACTTCCTTTTTACAATAATTATTCAATTTATGTATATACCATTTTTGTTTATTCATTCATCTGTTGATGGACATTTGGGTTGTTTCCACCTTTTGGCTATTGTGAATAATGCTGCTATGATCATTGGTGTGCAAGAATCTGAGCCCCTGCTTTTAATTCTTTTGGCTATACACCTAGGAATGGAATTGTTAAATCATATAGTGATTCTATATTTAACTTTTTAAAGAACCACCAAACTGTTTTCCACAGCAGCTGCACCATTTTATCATAGCCTTTAAAAAAATATGTCAGTTATTTTGCAGACCAGAAAATTTTAGAACCATGCTCTTTTTTAAGAAAACTGGAACATAGAGATAAAGAAAACTTCAGGAGAAAAAACTATAATCCCGTTGCCATTAAAATTGTTCACACGTTTGTGTTTGGTTTTGGTTTAAAAAAAAATTTTATTGAATTTATTGGTTACATTGGTTAATAAAATAATATAGGTTTCAAGTGTACAATTCTATAATACATCATCTGTATGTCATATTGTATGTTTACCAGCCAAAGTCAAGTCTCCTTCCATCACCATTTATCCTCCTCTTATTCTTGTCTACCTCCCTCCACCCTTAACCCATGTTTTCTGTATAAAATACTCATAGATTTAAGTGCACACATGAGATAGGCTATATACTGAAAACTTAATAACTCAAAGGGACCAAAATGATCCATTATTTTATTTTCTTTCTGTGTGTTCCAATTCTTTTTAATTTTTTAAACTTTTATTAAATTTTTGGGGTGATATTGGTTAATGGTATCATATAGGTTTCAGGTGTACATTTCTCTGACATTACATCTGTATATTGCACTGTGTCAAACCATCTTCCATTATCATATATTAGGCCCCCAATCCCCAACCCACTTTTCACATGTTGATACACATTCTCCCAGGATTTATTTTTATGGTGACTGCTTTTTAAAATAAAGGTTTTGTATGTTACCATGGAACTTTAAAAATGTTTTTGAAGGAATAATATTTTAGAAATGTTCTTGCCTTAAAATATACCACTTTCAAATAATATTCAGTCATCACAAATTATGAGAATATGTAACAGTAATAAACTCTACATTCTATTAACTGCTTACTATATTCCAGAAACTTTACATATGCTGACTCTAATGCTTACAATAACCCTTTGTAGGCTTTACGCTTCGATGGGCCAGGTTTCACCACCTGTGTGGTACTGCTTAAGTACTCAACCTCCCTACCCCTAAGTTTTCTCACCTGTGAAAACAAAGGTCCTACTAGTACTTACCTCTATAGTTACTGAGCATTCAAACAAGATGATCCAAGTAAGATGCTTGGAACATAGTTTAGCATAGCATATCAAAGGTAGAGACAATAAAAGCAAAGGATTGGTGGAACTAACCATAAAATAAAAATAATTTCTGAATGGCAGAAAACACCAAAAAGTTAGAAGGCAAGCAGTAATGTGGGGGAAATATAACTATTGTGACAGACAAAAAACACTTTAATATACAAGCTTTAGAAATTTAGAAAATGTAAACATTTAAAGATACTTCCCTAGGAAAGCAGGCAAAAGCTATAAACAGCAAAGGAAGACAATCTGACGTGACCGGTTTATCTGTGAGGACATTTTCATGAACCAATTGACACAGATTATCTGATGCATCCACTGTCTGTCAGCCATCACTGCCACAATGAGCATGCCCCGCCTTCCTTTCCCTCCCCCTCTCCTTAACCTCCAGTCCAGAGGACCATCACCTTAATATTTTCTGCATTGTTTGCACTTTCGTTCACAAAAGCAAAACTTCTAATCATAAAAAAGATAGAAAAAGCTTTTAGAAGGATTAACCTCTAAGGGGAACCAAAATCATCTTCATAAAAGAAATTCCATTATATTTAACATAATATTTGCATACTCAAGTCCTGAGAAAAAAGTTAAGAGTTTAGTTGAGTATTTCCTCTACAGTCCGGAGCTGAGAATAAGAAGTCTTATTGTGTTCCAAATACCTTCCTTCTCCCCTTCGATTCAGTACCTATATATCTAATCTATATATCTATATCTATATCTAATCTATCTATCATATTCATTCACTCATTCACTGTTTGTGTTTTTACACTGAGCACCTCTTGTCTGCCAGCCATTGTGCTAAGCATGGGATCTAGCAGTGAGCTAGAAACAGTCCCAGCCCCCATGGAGCAGACAATCTAGTTGAGGGAGGAGGAGGAGGAGGAAAAAAAAGTAAATGTTTGGGTTAATGACATATTGTCAGATGTGAAAAAATTAGAGAAAGGACACAGAGTACAGCAGGGGCAGCTGTTTCAGATTAAATGCTCAGGAAGGCCTCTGTAATAAGGTAATATTTGAGGAGAGGGATAAAGGAGGTGAGGGAATGAGAGGTATGAGGATTCCTGAGAACATTCCCGGCAAAGAGAACAGCAACAGCAACGGCCCTGAATCAGGAGTAAGCCTGCAATGTTTAACGAAAATCAAGGTTAGTAGGGCGGCTGGAGCAGAGGGATGAAGTGGGAGAGATGTAGGAAATGAGGTCAGAGAAGTGATGCGATTAGGGAGATCAGATAGAGCTGTGTATATCATGGTGAAGACTGCGGATTGTATTCCATGAGTCTGGGCAGGTTGGCATAATCAGGAGAAAGCAAGCCTACAAAAAGCAGAAGTGTTTATTCTTCATATTTTTAAATGAAAAAAGGTAATAATTTCCATTAAAACAAATGATTTCTTGTTATATGTGATTGGAGACTAAATGTGCCCAATCCTTAGTCATCCTTCTCTCCCCCATCATGGGACCTGTACCTCAAATTGGCAGTGGTTAGCAATAGGACAAGCTCATGTTTGGGTGTTAAGAGGAAACAGTTAACATAGCAGTTTTGGTGGCTTACTCTTTGTATGTCTCCAAGAGAATCATAATTGACTCTTAACCAATCCAAAAGAATGTGTCTGTCAGTGTTCTTTATATTATCAATGGGTTGATGATTTCGTTATGTACACCATGCTTTACCATCTTATTATGGTTGCTTTGCACAAACATCAAGATTGATGATGTGAAACTGCTTTCAAAGTTGGGTCAACAACATCATTGGGGTCCTGAGTTTCCTGGTCATGGCCAGTTGTTACAAGCATGCATATGTAACCTGACCTCCCATTTGTAACTCTGACTGAGACTCAAAATAAGATTTACTGGGCATAGATATTCCACATGGGCCCCTGAAGTTCACTACTACAAGATCTCAAAAGGGAATTAGAAAGCATTTTGAACTAAATTAAAACACAACATAGCAAATGCTGTGGTATATAGCTCAAGCATTACCTAGAAGAGAATGCATAGTTAAATCTCTATATAAGAAAAGAGTTATAGCTGATGTGGCTCAGTGGATTGAGTGCTGGCCTGCGAACCAAATGGTCACCAGCTCAATTCCCAGTGTAGGGCCCACGCCTGGGTTGCAAGCCAGGTCCCCAGTAGGGGGCGTGTAAGAGGCAGCCACACATTGATGTTTTTCTCCCTCTCCTTCTCCCTCTCTTCCCCTAAAAATAAATACATAATTAATTTAAAAAAGAAAAGAAGAAAAGCCTCAAGTCAATGACCCCAGCTTTGATCTTAGGGAACTGGAAAAATAAGAACAAATTAAGCTCAAAGTAAGCAGAAGAAAAGAGATAATAAAGGTAATGACAGAAATCAATTGACTAGAAAACAGGAACAACTAGAGAAAATCAATGAAACCAAAAGCTGGTTCTTGAGGAAATCAATAAAATTTATAAATTTGTATCCAGACTAATCAGATAAAAAAAGAGAGAAGGCACAAATTACCAATATTAGAAATAAGAGAGGGAATATCACTGCAGAGCCTCCAGACAAGCAAAATGATAAGTGAATGCTATGAACAAAAGATAACAAAGAAAATTTAGATAAATTAGACTTCATCAAGATTTAAAATATTTTGTGCCATAAAGGGCACTACCAAGAAAGTTAAAAAATGGGAGAAAATATTTACAAGTCATATATCTTATAATAGTTTAATATCTAGAATATATAAAGAACTCTCACAATTTGAAAAATAGATAAACAATCCAATTGAAAGATATTACCAGAGACAGAGAGGGACATTGTGATTATAAAGGAGGGGAAAGTTTTGCAAGCGGACATACAATTCTAAATATTTATACATCTAATAGCTTCAAAGTACATGAAACAAAAACTGATAGAACTGAAAAATAGACAAATACACACTTAAAGATTTCAACACACCTCTCAATAATTGATAGTGAAAGTATATAGAACAATCAATGAGGATATAGAAGACAATACTATCAGCTTGACCTAACTGACATTTATGAAACACTCCAAAAAAAAAAAAACAGAATATACATTCCTTTTGCATGACCATTGAAAAATTACCAAATTAGACCATATTCTCAGCCATAAAACAATTCACAACAACCCTCCTCTTTTTGGCAGGGGTTGAGCATGTGGTCCTGGTCCCTGTAATGTACAGAGGGAGAGGGAAAGGGCTCTGGCCCTCTCGGCATCACGTCTTCAGTTCCCAATAGTTTCCAGTCCAATGTTTCTGTCCTCAAGCACTGGGACACAATTAAAACAAACAAACAAATAAACAATTCAAAACACATTTAAAAGTATTAAAATTATGCAAAGTATGTTCTCACCCTGTCCGGTGTGATTCAGTCGGCTGCAGTGTCATCCATTAGACAAAAAGTTCGAGGATTTGATTCCCCATCAGGTTTTGTACTTGGGTTGGGGTTTGATCCCTGGTTTGGGCATGTGAAGGAAAGCAGCCATAAGATGATGTTTCTCCCTCACATCGATAATTCCCCCTCTCTTGTCAATGTTTCTCTTGCTTCCTCTCCCTCTCCCTCCCTCTCTCTCTCTCTCTCTCTCTCTCTCTCTCTCTTTCTCTCTCTCTCTCTTTACGCCTTCCCACCCTCCCTTACCCTCTAAAAGCAATGAAAAAAGGTGTCTTTGGGTGAGGATAAAAAATGGTATGTTCTCTGCACACAATAAAATTAAATTAAATTTGATTAGATTAGATTAAATTAGATCAAAAGAAGAAAGATTCCTAGAAAGTTCCCAGATATTTGGAACCTGAATAACACACTGCTAAATAATACATGGGTTAAGGAAGAAATCAAAAGGAAAATTATAAAGCATTTTGAACTAAATTTAAATGAAAACATAGAAAAATTGTGGGATACAGCTAAAGATATGGTTAGAAGAAGATTTATAGCACTAAATGTCTATATTAGAAAATATTAAATATCTCAAAATAATGACCTTAAGAAACTAGAAGACAAATTGCAAATTAAACCTAAAGTAAGCAAACTTAAACCTAAAGTAAAGATGACACAAATCAAATACACTGAAAACAGAAAAACAAAGAAATGGTCTTTCTTTGAGAATATCAATAAAATAGACAAACCTCTAGCCAGACTGACCAGGACAAAAAGGATATAATTAAATAATATTAGGATTAATAGAGGGAACATAAGTTATAGATCCTACAAATATTGTGGCAGGTAGACTCTAAAATGGTCTCCATTAATTCTTGCCTCCAGGTATTCTTGCCCCTATGTAATTCTCCCCTTGAGAGTGGACTGACCTAGTAACTTGTTTCTAACCAACAGCAATGACAAAGGTAATGGGATGTCATTTTCTGATTAGACTACCAGATTGCTACACCCTCTTTATTGATGTCTTTACTAAAGTAAACTTCCATGTTGGAAAGGTAACATGGTAAGGAACTAAGGGCAGCCTCTCACCAACAGCCAACAGGAAACTTGGGCCCTCAGTCCAACAACCCACAAGGAATTGAATCCTGCCAACAACGTGAGCTTAGAAGTGGATCCTTCCCCAGTCAAGTATTTAGATGAGACCCTGGTTCTGGCTGACAGTTTGATTACAGCCTGTAAAAACTCCCCAAACAGAGTACCCAGCAAAGCTGTGACCAGATTCCTGACCTAGAGAAGCTGTGAAATAATAAATATGTGTTGTTTTAAGCTGCTGAGTTTGTGGTAATTTGTTATGCAGAAATAGATAACTGTAAAAATGTTAAAATGATAAGAAAATATTATCAACAACTTTATGTTAATAAACTTGACAACTTTGATGAGAAGGACAAATGGAAAAATTTCTTAAAATATGCAAGATATCAAGGCACATTCAAGAAGAAACCAATAATCTGAATAGCCCAACAGCTATTACAAAAAATTAATTTGTAGCTTAAAAACTTTCCCACAGAGAAAACTTTGGGCCCAGATGACTTCACTGGTGAATTCTCCCAAGCATTTAAGAAAGAAATAATTATAGTTCTATATAAACTCTTCCAGAAAATATAAGATAATAGAATATTTCCCAACTCATTCTATGAGACCAGCATTACTCTGATACCAAAATAAAAGACATTATAGAAAATAAAACAAAGACCAATACCCCTCAAGAACTTAGATGCAAAAATTCTTAGCAAAAATTTAGCAAATGGCATCTAAAAATATCCAGAAAAGGGACTTCATCATGATTATATGGGGTTTATTTGAGGAATTCAAAGTAGGTTTAGCAATCAAAAATCGATAACTGTGATTCACCGCATTAGCAAAAAAACATAAAGAAAAAACATAATTATCACATTAGACACAAAGAAAGCATTTGACAAAATGCAACATCTTAGCATAAAATCTCAGACAAAATCTCAGCAAACTAGGAATAGAAGGAATCTTCCTCAATCTGGAGAAAGGTAACTATGAAAGATCTACAGCTCACATCACATTTAATAATGAGACACTGAATGCTTTCCCTCTAACATCAAAAAAAAAAAAAAGGCAAGACTATCCACTTTTACTATTTCTATTCAGTATTATACTGGACATTCTAGTCAATGAATAGGGGAGATAAAAATGCATCTAGACTAAAAAGGTTAACTTCTCATTATATATGGATGATAAGTTGTCCAAACAGAAAATCTTCCAGAATATACAAAAAAAGCTGTAATAACTAATACATGAGTTTGGCAAGGTTTCAGGATATAAACTCAGTATATAAGAATCTATTGGATTTTTATACATTAGCAATAAATAACTGGACATCCAAAGTTTTACATTCAAAATGGCATCAAAAATATGAAATGCTTAGGGATAAATTGGATGAAAAAAAGTGCAAGACCTGTACATTGAAAACTACAAAAGAGTGCTAAGAGAAACTAAAGAAGACTTAGAAAGATATACTATATTGGAAGACTCAATATTAATAAGATGTCAATTCTCCTAAAATTGATGAACAGATTCAACATAATACCAACCAAAATCTTAGGAGGTTTTCTTGTAAAAATGGACACACTGATTCTAAAATTCATAATTGGTATGCAAAGAACCCAGAATAGGCAAAATTATTTTGAAAAAGAATGACAAAATTAAAATACGTGACCTAGCCAGATGGCTCAGTTGCTTAGAGCACCTGAGTTTTGCACCACAAGTTTTGCAGTTTTATTTCCTGGTGATGGCACATAACTAGGTTGTGGTTTCAATACTGTGTCAGGGTCCCTACAGGAGACAACCAATCAATGTTTCGCTCTAATGTTGATGTTTCTCTCCCTCTCTCTCCCTTCTTCTCTCTCTGAAATCAATAAACATATCCTCAGTTGAGGATTAAAAATAAATAATAAATAAAAGATTTACAATCTGATTTCAAGATTTATTACAAAGATACAGTAATCAAGACAGTATACTACTGCCAGAAGAACAGACACACAGATCAATTGTATAGAATAGAAGGTCCAGAAGTTGTGCCATACATACATGGTCAACTAGTTTTTGACAGAGGTGACAAGGATAATATTTTCAACAAATTATGCTGTTAAAATTGGATAACCTTATGTAAAAAATCAAGTTTGACTCTTATTTCATGTTGATACCAGTAACCTGGCCAGTGCTGTAGTCTGAACAGTGCCTGGAGTGTGAACAGGAGTGGAGGGGAGGGGCCACAGCGGCAGCACCACATTGCCTGGGTAACCAGGCTACTGCAGGTGCTGATGACAGATCCCCTCTCCCACTCCTGGGCAGGGCAGGGCAGGGCACAGCAAGAGGAAGCCATTGCTTTGAGCATGTGCAAGGCTAGCAAGGGTGATTGGCTAAGGGAAAAGCTCTCCTACTCCCTTCCAGTTCAGTGAAGATTTGTCAGTCTAGCCTGGGAAAAGACAGGTTTGTTTGCGGGGTCGGAGGGGCAGGCCCTCCGGAAGCATGCAGAAGTTTGAGCACCTGGCCTGGCCCACAAGGGTAGCATATATAAACCAAAGGAAGAGAGATATTCTCTCTCTTGAACCCACCATGGATGTGTGAGCTGCTGCTTTGCAGGACTGGCAGGCTCTGGAAGTCACATGGCAAAATGGTGGCTCTGAAAAGGAGGGAGCTTGAGGCCCAATAGTGCTGTGGAGAGAAGTTGACCTGCTTGAAGGATGACTTGGTGGCTGCCTGCAATTCCTGAAGGACAGTATTTTGAATGGGAGAAGGAACTCTGGGCACAGCCTGGGACTGGTCCAACATACAGTGGCTAGGTTTTCTAGAGGGGATGGGCTTTGAGGCAGGAGTTTGATATCCTCCCAGATAGTGTAGCTTTTGAATAAAAGACCCCTTTCCTTTTCTCACCAGACCTCTGTCTTTGGAATTTGCCTATATGAGTGGCAGCGGGCAGCCAAACCCCACTTTTGTTTGGTAACATTACATAAAACATAAGCTTGCAATGAGTCATAGATTTTTCTTAAAACTGTCTTATAGTAATTAAACTCAATTTCTATCTGATACAGAGAGATTCCATGAAGCAAAAAAATGTAAAGTATTAGATTCCTTTTGCAAAGTTTTATAATTTATAATAACCAGTTAAAAACTGAGAAATCCAACAATAAACAAAATCTGTTTAATTTTGTTTCACCCTGTAATACACAAATGTATATGACCATGAAGTTCTTTATTTGCACATTAGTAATATTCTATGAAACATACAACACACTTTGGAAACCATATCTGTTCAAAACTTTTCCTTTACATGTGAGAAATCTGATGCCCAGAGAGAGTAACTCACTTGAGCAAGATCACTTGCCAAATGGGAGATGCCTCCAGGCATAAATCCTCTGCTTCTTGTATACACAACTTATTATCATTTTCATTTGGTATAGGATATGCCTTGAGTATTTAATAAGCAAGTATTGCTTCTATTTTTGTGCTTCCACTGTTCCTCGGGCTGCCCTTATTACAGCACCTATCATCCTATTGTACAACAATAGTCTTCTCCATGAGACCCAACACTCCTGCCCAGGGAATGTAAAATAATCATTTTTGTTTCACTCAGTTTGTTCCACTGACTAGAATATACTGGTACCTCAGTACATGTTTCACAAATGAATGGAGTTGGGGGTGGGTGAGGAGGATTTCTGTGTGAAGAACCCAAAAACAAGAGTATAGTCATTCAAAAGAAGAGTACAAGACTCCAAGTTGGGAAGGAAAATTCTGAGAAAAAGTGATCTTAGGGAGAGAGACAGTATTGGTAGGAAATTAATAACAGTATTTGCACAGCAAGGAATTAGGAAAGTAG